CAAAGAACGTGTTGGTGGTCTGGGGCGGGGGGGGGGGGAGGGGGCGGGGAGAAACAAGCAAGCTAAAACACTTTCTAAAGCTTCACAGGGAAATTTTAGAGAGACAGATAGCCAGGGAGGGACAAGAGAAAGCAAACTGGCCAGTATTATCTGGGACTGGGTGGAAGTTAATAATCAACCTCAAAGACTATGATGGGCGGGGGAGTGTGATAATATGAGGGGGTTGGTGGAAGAAATGAGACCCAAACAGATAGTAATATTTTGGGCCAAAGGGGCGCGATACAGAGGAGAAATGTAAACCCCAGGGGGTTAACACTGGGGGAGAAGAGACGCAAACCGCGAGGGGGTTAATATCAGGGACCGGGAGGTGGGATTTGGGAACCTCCACTGCCAGGGTTCATTAGTAATGACCATGGGGCAGAGGAGAGCCATGGCAAGATCCAGGGGAATTAAGGAGCGGAGCCATCCCACAGAAGGGAGTAGCCGGGGGCGGAGGAGACTCCCCACCCCGGCCCCTTCGCTCCAGTCCAGAGAGGCACTGACCTGGCCCTGCTGCTCCGCTCCAGGCGCGCCGCCCAGCACTGGGTGCGTTGGGGAAACAGGGCCGCCGGCACCCAGCACCGTGTGTAAACGGGCCGAGTTAGAAAGAAGCGCAGGGACGCTGCTGAGGCTCTTTACTGATGCCGCCTGTGGCACCGTACTTAGGAGCGAGGGCTAAGGACCACTCATTATTTGGACACGTGTTAAAATGCTGCCACGCAGCTACCAGGGAACTTTAGGCGGATTACCCTGCAGCCTCTGCGAGTATGTAAATGAAGCGCAGATTAGCATATTGCTGCACATCATTTGCATAATTTATACGTGCGGGTTTTGCGCAAAGGGTTTTTTGCACCAAAAAAAACAAACAAACAAACAAACCCCCTATTTTCCGCAAGATCCTTATGTCTCTCCGGGAAAGCCTCTTGTGCAAAAAAGCGGCTGCTCATTAATTATGCAAATGAGGCACAGCAATAGTCCACATTTCACCTCATTTGCATATTTCTTGCACAAAACAGCGCAGTGTAGACAGCCCCACACCGCTTGCTTTTGTGCAAAAACGGATCTGCAGAAAATATGCAAATGAGATCACGACTCATGCAACTGAGTCCCTCTTTAGCATATTTTTTGCCAAAAATACTCATAGTGTAAACGTAACCTCAGTGAGAATATCCTGGGAACACCCATGCCCTACCACTGATGGTACTTCCACCCACTGAATTATGTTCAGGTTACTCTCAATATTTTCCTGAGATTTTGTCAGGACCAGGAGTAAGCTTTTCAAAGTATGAAAATGTAAGGCAAAGTATGGCTCAGTAGAAACTCCCCTTAATTTTGGTCACTCATTCATTTTAATATTTACAACTTAAATAAAAAAAATTAGCTGTAAGTAGTTTTTTCTTAAATACATTCCACATGTTCGTTGTGCACCTTTGCGACAGGGATGCTAGTTTTCTTTTTATCACCACCTTTCCCTCATTTCCTACAGGGAATTTGCTATATGTATTAATATCCCTGTTTGGGATTGAGGGTTGGGGGCATTTTGCTATATATTTTTACAGTGTTTTGCTTGTGTAAAGGAAACTTTTCTGTGTCTGATTTAATTGGACACCGACAGTCTCACGCATCATTTTATTTTTAAATCTCCTCACTCAATTATCTCACAATGTGAGACAGTACCCTGAGGAGGCATAGCAACTAACATGATGTTAGACGTGACTTATCACTCTGCAAAGAGTGGAACTGCTGGTTCACCGTTATATCAAATGATTGTAGTTCAAGGCAGGAATACAACATTAAACATGAGTCCTTAACAGACACTTGTCTCCATGAGGTGGACATGTTATTTTAGCTCTAAAGTACATGTTAACATTACAAAGCTGAATAATACATAGGTCTTGGATAGCATTTTCCTCAATAGATCTCAAAGAGGTTTACATAGGAGAGCACTATAATTAACCCCATTTTACAGATGGAAAACATGAGGTATACAGGTGAAATGAGTTACCCAGGGACATATAAGGCTACATCCACACTACATGCTTTTTGCACAAGAAGCCTTTTGTGCAAGAGTTTTTGCTCAAACTTCTTGTGCAAGAGCACATCCACACCTATGTCTACACTGCATGGACGCTCTTGCTCAAGAAAGCGCTCATGGCCATTCACAGAATGGCCATCAGAACACCTGTGGCTTTTTCCCATAGGGAAACCCCTCTTGTGCAAGAAACCCCTCTGGAGCATCCACACTTGTCTTTTTGCATATGAACTCTTGCACAAAAGGGAGTTATGCCTCATAAAATGAGGTTTACCTACAACAGAAAAAGCCCTCTCTGCCATTTTACTCTTGATTTCATTGCGCAAAAGTACATTTGAGGTGTGGACGCTACACAGGTTATTGTGAAAAAAACAGCTGTTTTTGTGCAAAAATCTTGCAGTGTAGACATAGCCTAAGGGGGTGTACAGCAATTAAATACTTGTGGCAGCTGACTCAAGTTCATGAGTCTGGAAGGCCCATGACCTTGGGATTCAGCAGAAGCCCAAATGTCTAAACAATAATTAAACAGTCAAAACCAGCTAATATGGTTAATTGCTATTTTAGACTGCCACAATGGGCAAGTGATAGAATTCAGCTCTCCTGAGTCCCCCTGTAGAGCTTTATTCCCTAGGCTATGCTGCTATTATACCACTTTAAATTACTTTATTTTTCATCGCATCAATACAGCTCTCATTTTTGTTTTTCATCGCATCAATACAGCTCTCATTTTTGTTAATTAACCACTAAGTATCCTGGAAAGACATCCCCTGGTGCAATTGAAACCTACTTGTGAATGTGTTATACAGGTCCTTCATGCCAATCTGTAGAAAATGTGCATTGTTATAGAGGTTTGACTCTCTGGTTAAAGCTTGAGCAGTTTATGTATTGATCTTTTGAGATCCCTGGTTTAATTCACAGTGTCACTTCACTCTATGCTGGCCTCTTTGATTTTTCATGCACTGGATGCCTAAATATCCCAGACTTTTGCAACTGGGGAACAGACTAACAAACTCCCATGATTCTTCTCCTGGCAGCTGTTAAATTTTGCCATCACCATTTTCATACTACTGCCAGGCAACATGAAGGATCCAGTGCTGAGTGCCATGATCATGACAGTCACTAATACAAACAAGATTATGTACATGTAATCGCAGTCAGATGGTTGGGTGTGGTCAGTAGTTTCATACAGCTGTTGATGTGGATATGGCTAATAGTCAGAAGTGGGGGAACTCGAGCAGTTAGTTCAGGGTATTCATGTGGAACATATTTACTAGTGGAGATCTGCTTCTAGGCTCTACCAACCAGAAGTCAGGGATGATAGGCTTGTATCATTTTTGGTGATGCCCAGAACAGGGCCAAATCCCCCCCTCACACACAACTGCTTAAGGCTCAGGGAGAGGGTTTGGTGTGGGAGGAGGTTTGGGGTATAAGCTCCAGGCTGGGGTAGAATGTAAGAGGGGTTGTGGGAGCTGGAAGGGAGTTTGAGTGCAGGAGGGAGTCTGGGGTATGGGCTTTGGGCTATTGCAGGGGGTTGGAGTGTGGGTGAGAGTCTACGGTATGGATGAGGCATTTGAGGATGCGGAGACAGGCTGCCCCAGCACTGGGGCAGGGAGCCAGAGAGGACTGCCCCGAGCCTTCTCCCCTCATGGGGGAGGGTCCCTTTCGCTCTCTCCCCTCTGGCACAACACTCAACCACACTTCTGGAGGCTGATGCTCAGGAGGTCCATCCAGGATAAGCATACACATCCCACATGTGGAGTCATCTACCAGGCAGGGGCTGTTGAAGGCCAGATATATTTATGAGCCCTATGGGGGCAATGAACCATGGCATAGAGAGAAAGGTCTTTGGAGAGAGGGACTGGACAGTAGCAATGGGGCACAGCACTATGGGGGCACAGCACCATGGGGGCAACCTATCCCACCTGGTGCTGCCCATGTGCCCCTTCCCTGTAGGAGTGGGTCCATGCCATGTCACACAGCCTGCCCCATCCAACATCCCCAGACCTGATACACCAACATTTCCACCCCACAAAGCACAGTGCCATGAACACCACTAGCCTTGCACAGTGCCTCCTACCCTCAACCCCACCACAATTGCCCAGTACCCTGCAGAGACTCCCCACCACTCCAACACACACAGATCTCCCCACCCTAGGATTACCAGATGGGTTAAAAAAATACCGGTCACACTTGATCTCAGATTGGAGAGGGTAGGGGTCACG